GAGAGTATATGGTAAAATCGTAATCCTGCCCCGTTATTAATTTTTTGATTTTTTTTAGTTAAAGTTAGTTTCTATCTTGTTTCTTCATTTAATCCATTTTTTATTATGTTTGTCTAGTTGGTTTTATTAAATCGCTCCAGCGATAACGTGCGTTTCGTTTGGGTTTAATAATTAATTTTTGTTTGCTTACGATTGGTTCATAACACATGTGTGAAGTTTAATTACATGTTTTAATACTTGGTTTAGTTTGAATCAACAGGGTGATATTGATGTTGTTAAAATCTGAAGTTTATGTTATTTTATCACAAAATAGGGTACTAGTAGCCTACTTTTACTAGTTAAGGTGGCTGAAATGATATTTTTTCTCTTTATTTCTGTCATAGTAGATTTCCTTTGACCTTTGGACAGATTTTGAACAGTGTTTAGCATACAATGTCAGTTTTTGTCGGACAGACATTTGGTGAACCAAAATCTGTCCAAATTTGCCTATTTAAGGGCTGCCCTTTCCTCACTTTGGGGGGACTCCATCACACTTCTAGGGGGCATTTTTTATAATTGCTTTGTCACAAAAATAAAAAAAAATTCAGCAGTTGAACACATGAAAAGTAAGCTGAAATGGTGAGCTTTGAGAGTGAATCTTAGAGTGCAAACTTTTAAAAAAGTATAAGTCCTCTTTAGAGTTCGTTTTTGGGTTCCCTCTCTAAGTTTTCGGGTTGTTTTAACCCGGATTTGCTGCTGGTTTTGCTGCTGTTTTGCTGCTGTTTTTATGTTGCTTTATNTTGCTGCTGTTTTTATGCTGCTTTATTTGCTGAACTACTGTTTATTCTTTTGCTACCAGGTAATCCTTTAAGACTCGTAATGTACGTATTTTCAACAATGGGAACAACTTGAACATGCTGCACCATTTAAATGTGTTTGATGTGATAAATAATTTGACAACAAAAGAGCTTGTATGTTATTGTTATGTATCAAGCATGTGATAATGTGAATATAGTCCTTCATAATACTTTAATATTGAGTTGTAAGTTTTTGAATGTGATATGTAAGTCGTTTATGGATTTTTTAAGCATGTTTTCAAGCTATTATATCCGAGTAACAATGCTAAGTATGTCATGAATGACTTTAGGTGTATAACACATAGCATGAGTTCGTTTTAGTTGCTGAAATTTCACTGCCAACATATGCTTCTAGGAATGCTGTGATAATATCTTTGTGAATCTGGCCATTTTGCCGGATTTGCAAAAATGGCTATTTTTGTAAAGTGGGCGTTTATACAATTGTGACTATGTAGTTAATGGTCATGAACTCAAACTAAGTAAAGAGCTAAGATTGTATCAACTTTGGGCCTTATTGAATCAAAGATAAAAGTTGGCCCATTTACCTTTAAACAACAAAATTACCCCTTTTCTTCTATATAGCATTGGGCCAATTGAAATTCATTTCTTGGCCCATTTTAATAATAAATTCCAGCAGCCCAAAAGCTCCATACAAGCTGGCCCATTTTTTTTAACAAGAAGTTGGCTCATTTCTTTTAAAATAGATAAAGTTGGTCCAACATTTATTTGCATAATTTTTCCCAACTATAAAGCTCGAAAAAATAATAATAATATCAGATTTTTCTACTATTTTAATTAACTAGTTTCCCTTTAATTAATTTAAACGTTAGGCAAATAGTAGGTGCGTTTTAACTTCACGGACTCACTTGTGTAGCGTGACGCTTAACTTTTAATAAGTTAATTCATCAATTTCATGTCATATTCAATAGTTTTAATTAATTTATAAATCTTTTGTCATAATCACGAATTCGCTTGCGTAGCGTGGTAGTGACATTTAATAAATTTTCTGAAAAAAAAGAGGGTTAATGTATCCTCCAACACAATTGCAGCAATTTTTCAAAAGTAAATAACGTGCTAACAATCGTCTGTCATGACTGCGGATTCGCTTGCGTAGCGCCGTTATGACTAAATAATAAATTTCGTCGATCACGCATTCGCTTGCGTAGTGTGGTTATGACATCTTATTATTCAAAAATATTCTTTAATTTTTTCTAATAATCAAGAGATAACAGAGGATATGTAAAACATGAAAATAATATACATCACAGTTTGTCCAAAATTAATTCAAGCCAATTTTAAGTCAATAAAGTGACCGTGCTAGAACCACGGGACTCGAGGAATGCCTTATACCTTCTCCCCGGTCAACAAAATTCCTTACCCGAACTTTGTTTTCACGGACCGATTAAAATAGAGTCAAACCTTCCTTTGACTAGGGATCCAAATAAATGGTGACTTGGAACACCGAAAAAATCAATTCTAAGTGGCGACTCTGAACAATAAAATAATTCCTATTCAAATTTTGTCACTTTAATTGGAAAAACTCTTTGGCCCATACATATATTATTATTATTTTGAGGGGTAGAAAAGGGGTGTGACATTGGTAGCTTGACCAAACAGACTCTAAGTGTATTTTCTCAAAAGTGTTTTTAAAAAAAAAATACTTTTGAGGAGAAACTATTTTTCTCAGTTTCTCAAAAACAACTTCTGTTTTTACTCAAAAGCACTTTTTTTCTTCTAAAAGCTTGGCCAACTACTCTAACTTTTAAAAAAAATACTTTAGACAAAAAAGGCATTTTTGACGAAAAACAACTTGGATAAACATTCTATAAGTGTATTAGGAGGGAGTAATTACACTCCCTAACGAGGGGATTAAAGAATTAGGTGTCATTGCATGAGTAATTACAAGGCAACCTTTCAATTATCTTTATTTTCTTTCTAATATATTTTTCATCTAGAAAAAATTTAAGGCAAGGGCTCTGCGCCAAGCTTCTTCCAACGTTGTCTGCAACTTCGCTCCAGCTATGGTCTTTTTTCTCCCTTTCTTATTGCATACCCTTGGCTCCTTGCTAGCTGATTCATTAATCGGATACATATTTGTTATAATGATTTCTTATGAGGAAGGCTTGTTAAAAATAATAATTCATATTTTACTAGTTTTATATTCTAATCTTTAGAATAAATATTAACTATGAAAAAAATACGTTTTATTAGTAATTAAAATTTATATATCAATGGAAAATATTTACAAGGAAATAAAAATTCCTTGGCCAGACTCTAACTTTAACAGAGCATCCTATCCTCTAGCCTGGACCTTATACAGCTTATCAAAACACTAACAACTAAGGGTAGAAATTCTAACTCTCAGATATGTTATCTTTTTGTTTCCTCGACAGTGTACCTCTTATCTATCCTATTTTTTTTTTTTTCATTTTTTTATTTCACATGTGTTGGTAAAGAATTTTACTTTGCTATTGGAATTTTCATTGTTATCTTTTAAGTTATAATATTATTTATATGGAAATTATTGTTTATAACATTATTTAGTATTTTATAATTGTTTAATATATTTTCTTACAAGAAATATGTATTTTAATACATAATAATATTTAATATTTATTATATACATAAAAATCTTTTCAGAAAAGAAGACTTATTTACAGGTTAATCTGATTTTTTATTTAATTATGTAATTGCACATTTACAATCAAATTCAAATATGGTACTAGTGACAAAAAACAGACAGCCTAGTAATTATACAAACAAATAATTATACGGAATTTTCTAAACATACCCTTAATAATTTTGAAATTGGATTGCGCCACTAATTAACTCATGGAAAAAACCAACAACCTCCCGTCCCCCTCCCCCACGAGGGACAAAAACGAAGAACAAGAATAAACAAAAATATGTTTCTGTAACCTGTTTTTCTGTGTGGATTACCAATAAGTTCTGGATAATCCGAAATTTTAGGCAGTTGGGTACAAATATAAAAGTGTGATTTTTTCTCAAAATAATTTCATTTAGCCTGTTGTTCTCAATCACTCTGCCAGAATTTGTGGATTATCATTGCCAAATCATTTGTGTCACGCAGCTGTATGCTCGAGAGAGCTACATGCTCATCTCATTTTATTTTAAGCTTTACAATAACTTAGAAGCAAAGATTTATCGCTGCACACCAAAAGATAACAGAAAAGGATGAAAAAGACGCAAATGAAAAAAGTGGTTGTGCTTGCATTCAGTATAGCCTCAGAGTTACTTATACTGACATATCAAATAAATATCTTCCCTAACCATCTATCAATGTAATTTCTGACCTCTACCTAGCTTCATGAAAAACAGGGGAAAATGACGTAAATTATGATGTTTGGCGGGGCGGATCCACCTCCCAACCTACAGGTTCACGTGAACCCAGTAGATTTTGTCCAAATAATATAAATGTATTTGAAAAATTTACTAAATATCTATAAATGTTTGAATGTGAACCTAGTTACTATTAAAAATTTACTCGAGATCGTTACAGAAACTTATAAGCATTAAATCTTGGATCCGCCTCTAATATTTGGTACAAAGGAAAATATGTTGAGTCATTTTTAACAATCAAACACCAAAAAATTCTTCCATTAAAAGGGAAAAAATTACAATCTTCGCTCATGTTTTTCATAGTCCATTTGAAATAGTGTCCAAATTTTAGAGAATGTTAGATAGTGAGACAAAGTTTTTTCTGGGAACGTTTTTTTTTTTTTTTTAAAAAGTTTTCCTTCATACCAAGCACACCCATATACAAAGAATCCTCAAAAAAGAAAAAAAAATGGCCATATAGAAGAAAGCTTTTCTTTCAATGACATATTATACATAAAAATTTAGGAGAAGAAAGGAGATAATTGATCTACAGTGTACATAGAAGAAGAAATACCAAGGCCTTTAGTTTGATGCAACTTAATTCATCCAATAGGTCTAGTTGCCAGAGGAACAACTTCAGCCAGAGGAGTGGATTGTGGTGTTGGCAATGGAGAAGTTCTGCAAACAGGACAAGTTGGATTTAACCTCAGCCATGGATCTACGCATTTTAAGTGGAACAAATGGTCACAATCTGGTAATAGCTTTAACATGTCACTGTTCTTGTAATCCGCCAAACAAATTGAGCAACAAGTCGCTGTTGAATCCTTGTGATTGACCTTAGCTTCTGAATACAACAACTTTGGATAACTCAATAGGGTTTCTTCATCAAGCCCCAGTTCCACCACAACTTCTTGAACGTCCTCGTTGCTATTTTCATTCCTTTGCCTCGTCTTTTGTGGCGGCACAGTGGTTTGATGTCTTGTACAAAAGTAAGATGTCAAGGTGATAGTTGTAATTAATAACAATATCCCTACTGAAACTCCAATGCCATACGCGAATCCACCGATGTTTTGCGAACCTAGGAACCCATCGGTTGGATCAGGGCTTATTGCTGTGCTATTCATGATCTTGTTATGTTTGTGATTTTTGTTTGGTTAGCCATGAGGTTAAAACAAAAGGAAATGGTCTAAAGATTCTGAAGTCAACGGTTTACATATGACAATTTGATAAAAGGGGGAAGTTTGATTGGAGAAGTTTTAAACAAGGGAGGATGCATTTGGACGTCAACGTAATGAAGTTTAAAAATTATACTATGAATGGAAGATATAAAGCAAGAAAAAAGAAAGTGTATTTGAAGAGGTTTCTTGTGAATATATATAGTGCTTTATCCTTGTGAGGTAGGTTGGAGATGTCAACGGTTGCCTCGCTGGCTTTCTATCCTTTTCATGTACGTTTGATTCATGTGAGTAACGTCTTTCTTGGTAGCAAATTATTCAACTTTCTCCACTGGTAGTTACATGTTTTATGAATAAATTATATCGTTGTTTTCTAAGTCGTTATGGTTTATTATATATACTTAAATTTCTGTCTCCCTTTGAAACTTCTCTATCTTCTTAATGATCCGTGATTGCACGTTCCATGAACCAAAAGTTTAGCAGGTTGCATATGATGGCTAGCTTAGTCTATTTGTTTATAAACTCTAAATGACATTAATTACAACTTTCGTTCTCTTAACCCCTACGTGCAATAGGCATAAACGACAAAACGAAAGAATATTTCTAAGCGCGATAAGCAAATTAATGATACAAATTGGGAATTCATTGTCCTGTCAACGAATGGTATAGCTATTAAAGCAAGCAGCATTACACTTTGGCACATCTTACGCTCATAAGACAAATTAAGAAGTAGGGTGTGTACGAATGATTATTTTGTGATAGTGTTTATTGATGATATATTAAGAAGTCTTGCAATCATGTAAAAGGAATTGGACCGAGGGAGAATTGTGCCTCGGGATCGTGTGGAGGAGATTCAATATTGCGTAGGTTCATCAGCGTGTACATTGCGGTCGCATGAAGGTGGTAGCGACTACGCAGGAGACAGGCCAGTGGCCTTGATGATTTCGTGAACCCAAACACGATCGCATATAAGGAATGATTTCCATGGTATTTAAGGTCCAAAGTTTGGGATTTTACTTATTTTTATCATTTATGAGACCTAGACTTTCGGATGAGGTAATTTTTGAAGAGTTTTTAGTCCAACTTTAGAGGTTAGTAATTCTAATTTGGATTTAACTTAAGATATTGAATAACCATGAATTTTCACTCCTAAATCTAAGGAATTTGAAGAAAGAGAGGGAGTTTTGCCATAAAGAGTAGTTATTTTCTTTTCGGATTTTAAACGCCGATTTGAGGTTGAATTTGAAAATAAAGTATATATTTAGACTTCAGAGGTCATGAGTTACCAGATATTGTGTTCAATTTTGGATTCCGGACATGTGGGTCCGCGTTGATTTTTGTTTAATTTTTCTAAATTCTTTAAAGATTAAAAAAAAAATTGGATTGGAATTGAGTCCTAAAGTATTGATTGAATTCTTTAAGTATTGTTTGGATAGATTTGGGATATTTGGAGGAGAATTTCAAAGGAAAAATATTATTTGAGGGTTGAAGTTGTTCTTGAAGAAGATAAGTCTCATGTCTAAACTTCTTAAGAGGAAAATCTTTCCAAAAGTTAGACTTATATATTACATGATACATGATTTGAATGTGGCATATATACAAGGTGACACGCATATATACGTAAACTAAGACTATACCATGTTTGATGGTAGTTTTAGGATTCTTTATACCGTGTTCGGTTAGTGCTCTTTTTGACTTATATTTTATTTGATTGTAATACTACGTGAGCCTATTTATTCATGCTAGATATCATGCTTAGGCTTATGACATCGTATTTGGGCATGATGAGCTTTTCATGAGATGTTAGTATATTTGATTTAGTCGTAGTCATACTTTATATCATAAACATACACACATCCATATCTTTATTTACTATGTCCTTGTGTATCTTATTTATTATCTCTTGAGCATATGCATATATTTTTGGAGATGAAGATCTTGATACATATTGTACACGGTCAAAATCAAGAAGTTCGATTTCGAAGCCTCAAATTGGGTTATGAGTCCGAGTCCGGGCGACTCGAGGTAGAGGATAGACCCTGTTGGAGGACACACACCTCGATAAAGCAGATCGAAGGCTTGACGCGACCTACATCGAGGGCAGTACATTTTCGAGGGCAATCAAGAAAGAGCGGGAATTTCCCAAGGACATGTGGACAAAGGCATAAATTAAAGGATAAGATTTATACGAAATGGTACAGGTTCATACCATGTCGTTATACATCTGTACCAATACAATTCTTTACCTCAATTAGGAATGTACTATATTGGGATTTTCTCTTCCTATATAAAGGGAACCCCAATCATTTGTATCACACATTATTATTCATTACAATAGAATATTCAACTCTGCTTCTCTTGTTTAACGTGCTCAAAAAGGGTTCTTCAGCTTTATTGCTTTTTACTTTATTGTTCATACCTCCATTGTTCTTAGTTGACCTCGAGGCCCCCAAGAAAGTCGAACTCGAGTTCCTCATTGTTCTTGCAACACTGGTTTGGTTCATCAATTCTTCTTATTTAAACTTATTACTGCTTGTATATCTACTAGTATTAAAATAAATCACATACCTTTAAAACCACAAATTACATTCAATTATTACCCCATTTTTTGAGGATAACAGTTTGGCGCCCACCGTGGGGCTAAAGATAATAGTGATTGTTTTAGTGCTAGTTTTCTGATAACACACGTTATTCTTTATATTTTTTCTTGTCAAAGATTCTTTGATTTCAGGCTTAATTATGTCTAGAACACAGAATGCGCCTATTCACGAGGATGAACGTCTTGGAGAAAATAGCGGTATAGGGGTCGGTGTACCACCCATAAACCCCGAGGGAGTGCCAAATGTGGAGCTAGTTGATATTAGATCGCACATTGCTCTAAACACAGACGCACGCACAGACCCTGCAAGGAACGCACACGGGGAAGCTCGAGCAGGAGGCTAGGAAACACGAGGGATGAAAGAAGGAGGAGTCAGCCTCCAAGTGATTTTTGAAATGCTGCAAGCCCAACAAGTCGCGATCGCTCAACTTTAGAGTCAGAATAGAACCCCCAACACAGCCGAACCAGTAAACACTCGGCGTACAGAACCAACAAGGCCCGATAAAAACAGCTCGGGGACTGACCCCACTATCATGAAAATGCTTGAGGAGCTCGCCAAAAGGATAGAGACTGGAGAAAAGAAAATTAAAGAAAATGACAAAAAGGTGGAAACGTACAACTTAAGGGTCGACCAGATACCGGGGGCACCTTCGGTTTTAAAAGGACTAGACTCGAAGAAGTTCGTGCAAAAACCATTCCCCCAGAGTGCGACTCCAAAGCCTATCCTGAAGAAGTTTCGGATGCCAGATATCCCGAAATACAATGGAACCACTAATCCCAACGAGCACATTACTAACATACACTTGTGGCATAAAAGGGAATGATTTGGAAGACGATGAGATTGAATCAGTTTTGCTGAAAAAGTTTGATAAAACTTTGTCTAAAGTTGCCATGATTTGGTACCATAACCTGCCCTCGAACTCTATCAATTCGTTTGCTATGTGGGCAGACTTGTTTGTGAAGGCACATACTGGTGCCATAAAAATTGCAACAAGGAAATCCGACGTATTCAAGATAAAGCAAAGGGAGAACGGGATGCTGAGGGAGTTTGTATCCCGTTTCCAATCAAAATGAATGGAGTTACCGACAGTCTCCGATGACTGGGTCGTGCAAGCTTTCACTCAAGGACTGAATGAACGAAGCTCAATAGCTTCGAAGTAGCTGAACCAAAACTTAGTCAAGTATCCCATTGTGGCTTGGGCGGATGTGCATAATAGGTACCAATCAATGATTAGGGTCAAGGATGACCAGTTGGGAGCCCCCCTCGGGCTCAGTTTATCCGAGCAGGTTGCTAGCAAGGGAGTCAGGAAATGCAAACAAGGGGCCAAGATTGAATAAGGAAAGATATCAGCCATACATCGAGGATTGAAAGAATATGTCAAAGTGTAATATACCTCGGAGTGATCGAGGAACGGATCGAGGTCAAAGTTCCCGGGGATCGTGAGCAAAACCAGTTTGATAGGCACTTGGGACCGCGAGAGGTGCCTAGATTATTGGAGTACAACTTCAGCATCGATGCCTCAGAGATAGTCTCAGCCATTGACAAAATTAGAGATACTAGATGGCCTAAGCCCATATAGACCGATCCTTATCAGAGGAACCTCGACTTGATGTGCAAATATCATGGTACTCATGGGCATAGGACCGAAGATTACAGGCAGTTAAGGGAAGAAGTGGCTAGGTTATTCAATGAGGGCCACCTTCGAGAATTCCTAAGTGATCGGGCTAAGAATCACTTAAGGGAGAGAGATGCAGGCAGGGTGAATGAACCTGAAGAACCTCAACATATCATTCACATGATCATCGGTGGAGTTGACGTACCACAGGGGCCTATATTCAAGCGTACCAAAGTATCCATCACAAGGGAGAAACGGACTTGGGATTACATGCCTGAGGACACCCTCACATTTAGCGAGAAGACATCGAGGCCTTATCTCAGCCTCACAATGATGCACTGGTAATTTCTATCCTTTTAAATAAAGTTCAAGTTAAATGTGTTCTCATGGATCTAGGTAGTTCGTCAAATGTAATTCGGTCAAGGGTCATGGAGCAGCTCGGGCTGCTCGATCAAATCATATCGGCACCTCGAATCTTGAATGGCTTTAACATGGCATGTGAAACAACAAAGGGAGAAATCATCCTCATAGTCAACGTGGCCGGAACCATACAAGACACCAAATTTCATGTCATCGAATGTGACATGAGGTATAATGCTTTGCTTGGAAGGCCGTGGATCTATATCATGAGGGCGGTGCCATCAACCCTCCATCAAATGATGAAGTTCCCAACAAAGGATGGCGTGAAAATAGTATATGGAGAACAACATGCAGCTAAGGAGATGTTTGCAGTGTACGACTTGGCACCGCCCGCATCGGAAAAGTCGAAGGACGAGCTGATGGCCAAATAGCAATCACAACCCATGCCCTCGGTTGAGCCCGAGGGACGGGTGTCCGACGAATAGGTTGCTGAGGATGAAGAAGAAGATTTTCTCACCCCTCGAGCCTTCATTGCTCCTAAAGAGTCAGATGCGATGAAGTCCACGATCGAGGAACTCGAACAGGTCATATTGATCGAGCATCTTCCAAAA